AGGGGCCATGTGGGGGGCTAGGGTTGGCACTCAGGAGGTCTCAGGCAGACCAGCTGAGATTAGGTGCACACACGCGGGGATGCAAGATAGCAGCTAGAGCCTGACATTTGTTTTCATCTGTCAGCAATTTCTGCCCACCTTCTTTATTGGTCAGTAAATAAGAGACAAGGACCAAAAATTATGTCAGCCGAGTGTGTAAAGATGTGGCAGGGCCCCCCCAAACACAGGCTTTTCAGAATCAAGAATTAGAATTCTGGGCCCCAAATTGAAGTCCAATGGTTCTGGATGATGTGAGGTTAAGTAGAAATCTGACACGGTGAGACCTGCAGTTAGTGTAATGGCTATGTGGTTTGCATCCTGGACCCGGTGGCTTAAAACTCACGCCAGGCACGTGTGCGTGCGTGCCCAAGATCCCGAGAGGAGAATGGAGGAGAAGGGATTGCAGCGTGGCCACCCGCCTGGAGGGTGATTTCTCGCTTTCTATCTCTCTGTCTCTCTCTGTCTTCCTGGTGAGCACATGCGCCCTATAGCAAAAACCTCTCCCAAAAAAAAAGAAAAAGAAAAAAAGAAATCTGACATGGCACCAGTGTGTACCCCCTCTTAGCTAGCTGCTCCTGTGTGCCATGTGCAGATGTGTTGCCTGGCAACCTCCATCCAAGGACAGACACAGTATAACACCTGGGGGCAGACTGTCTCTTCCCTTGGGTCTCCCCATAAAAGGGTCACATGCTTTCCCCTCTGTCTCTCAGATTGAAGGATGGTGCCAAGGATGCCATAGAAGCACTGGGAAGTAAAGAAATCAGGAACATGAAGTTCCGGTCAAGCTGGGTGTTTGTTGCAGCAAAAGGCTTTGAACTTCCCTCAGGAATCCAGAGAGAAAAGGTGAGTGGTTTTCAGATGTCCCTTCCCAAAGATGATTAGTATAGTAACCGCTGTGATGTGAAAAGGTCAGCAGTTGATTATAACGTCTTGTCTATAAGCATGAGATGTTCGTAAACATTAGATCAGCATTAGATCTTAACCGAAGTTTCCAACTTCTCAAATCTCTTTAATAGTAGGACGTTCCAAATGGACTAGCAGTATTGGGTTTCTATCACTCTGCAGCCTTGGGGTCTGCTAGGACCCTCTCTCCTCGGTCAGAAGGTTAACCTCACAGTGTCCCTGTTCCAGGCTTGCAGGGGTGCTTGCTGCTAAGATGGTCAAGAAGATTAACTGAGGGGCTGGCAGATGGCGTGGTAGTTAAGGATGCTGGACTCCTACATGCCAGCCATGGTTCAAGTCTCAGACTTGATGGCTTCCTTTTCACTTTCTCTCTCTCTCTCTCTCTCTCTCTCTTGCTTTGTCTCTCCCTCTCTCTGCCTCTGCCTCTCTCTCTCTCTCTTTCTCTCCCTCCCTTCCTCCTTCCCTCCCTCCCCCAGCTGGTCAAGTTAAAATAAATAAATGAAGTTAAATAAAATAATCAAATTTTTAAAAAAGAGAATGAACTGAGACAGTGCAGGCAATATATTCAGAACAGGGCAGCATTAAGAAACACTCCCTCCATGCAGCTTTCATCACTGTTACTGTGGTAGAACATGCTGCGTCATTAGCTACAAGTCCCTCTCACAATGTTCATTTGTCAAAGAAAAGTAAAGAACAAAAGAATAACGTTCTAATGTATTAACTGCTGAGTCTCCTGTGAAGAGTCTGACTGAGGGTTTGCAAAATGCTGCAGGAGTTGCAGGCCGAGAGTTTGAGGCTGACACTTCTGGCAAAGAGCACACCAGCATCTGTCAGAGTTCTCCTGCTGACATAGGAGGGAGTTGTTCATGACAGCCCTGGACAAGCCCTGCCAAGAGGGAGACCTCTGTAATAGACCTTGTGAGGAAATGGGCCTCCTTTCCACTGAGCTGGAAAGTGCAAGAGGGTAGAGGTAGACTTACCTCAGAGTGAATGACTGGTCACTCCGATATCAGGCTGGGATGTTGGTCCTGGGCCCCCTCATGCTCTCCGATGTGGTTGCAGGGTCAGGAAGGAAGACACAAACAGAGCAGCCGGTGTCAGCTTGTAGTCCTGCTCTCCCAGGTGGAGGAGAAGGGGATTGGATAAGGAGCAATGTCAATGTAGACAACAAAACTAGGTAGCTGACTGTCTTCCAGGAGCCCTAGGCTCTAGTGATACCCTCTGTTCCTAAACTCCAGGATCATGGCCGTCAAGCTTGCACATAAAAGGCCTGTGCTCATGACTCCCTGTTCTGACCATCCCTGCAGAACATGCAGAGATGTGTTGAGGGACCCTGGCCAGGAGTACTCATTACTTATGAGTGTGTCTGGACACTTTGGTGCATAGTCGAGACCTCATGGGTTTGTCCTAATGCATGAAGCATTTCCCTGAGCTCTGCTCAGTGGCTCCCTGGGCCCCCCCCCTCACTCCCCCGCCCCCAGAACCAGTGCAGGTTGAGGCAAACTAGACACACAATTGGGGGACAGATTTGGGCTTCCCAGGGGGACAAGTGTGACTTTGAGCAAGTCACTGGCCTCAGGGCCCAGCGACCATACTCTGGTATACACCCCTTTCCCCTGAACTTCCCCCAGTCTGACTCTGGGAGTGAAGACAGATCCCTTTCTTCTAGGTGGTCCCTACCACAGCCTGGCACCCCGTGGCCATCCAGCCTTTATCCTCCCAACTGTGCTCTTGAAAAAGTTGTATGATCCTCTGTGCCTCCAAGTTGTCACCCATGAGAAAGAAGTAAAGGCAGTACCCAGAACAGAGGGAGCCCTGAAGTTTGAGACAGACACACATGAGGCTCAGCAAGAAGCTGTGCAGAGAGTCCTGTAATCAGAGCACCCGGGCCTTCCAGGGTCCTTCCTCACTCACCACCCTAAACACAGATTCCGCCGCATAGCTTCGGCAGACACGCCCAGACCCAATGCAGGCTAGTCCAACCAAATTCTCAGAGCTGGGGCCTGGCCTGGTAATTCTGATACACAGGGAAGGTCAGATCCATTTCAGAGGTTTTCCTGAAAAAACAGAGGCAGTGCTTGCATATGTTCATCTGAAACTTCCCCTCCAACATCTTCTAGCATCTCTGCTCTCGCCTCAGGCTTCTTACCCCATTCTTTCCTCTGCCCACTCTCCTCCTCCTTTCTCCAGTCTCCTGCAGTATCTCCAAGTGCCTGCTCCTGTCACCTCCCCAGCTCCCAGGTTATTTAACCAGCAAGAGTGGTGATGAGCAGCAGGCAGTGCTGGCAGCTGGGGCATTCTGCCACACAGGGAATCTTGTTATTATTGCCAAAATGGTTATTCTCCCTCCAGCTTATTATATCAGAAAAACTGGGGAATGACTCTTACTCTTTTTTTTTTTTTTTTTTTTTTGCTTTTGCCATAGGGCACATGTGTTCACTGAGAGAGAGAGAGATAGAGAGAGAATAAGTGAGAGATCACCCCTTAGGGAGGATGGCCATGCTGCAGTCCCTTCTCTTCCATTCTCCTCCGTGATTTTGGGCACACATGCACACACTCCTATTGTGATATTCAAGCCACCAGATCCAGGATTCAAACCACAGTTGGCTATGTGGGAGTCCAATGCCTTAACCATCACGTCACATGCTGGCCCAAGGCTTGTTATTTTTAACTCAGATGTTAACACCTCAATAAACAACAGACAGCTTCTCTATTAATGTTAAGGTAAAACATAGAACAAAACATCATTTGAATTGCAAAAGGGTCTGCTTTTTGGCGTGAAAGAAAGTTTCTGGAAGGGAAGAATAAAGAAAAGCCTGAGTATCAAAGCTCTGTGGTGAGGGGCCAGCAGGTGGCATAGTGGTTAAGGCACTGGACTCTTATGTGGTCAACTGAGGTCCAAGTCCCAGACCCAGTGGCTTAAAACTCAAGCTGGGTGCATATATCTGCATGCCCCAAATCCCAAGATAAGAATGGAAGAAAAGGGATTGCAGCATAGCCATCTCCCCGGGGTGGGGTAGGTATCATTTCTCACTTTCTGTCTGTCTGCCTCTCTCTATCTCTACAGCGAGTGCATGTGCCTTATAGCAAAAATCTCTAAACAAAACAAACAAAACTTTTGTGCTGAGCCTGGAGAATGGGCATGATTTGAAACCATGGCTCCCAAGGAATTTTAGAAGGTTGCCTGTCTTATCTATGTGTATCAGTTGACAGTTATTCTCCAAGTTACTACACAAGTTCAGAGACTAGACCTGACCCAACATGCACTTTTGTAAGAGTTATTGGCTTTGCTGTGATTTGGGGGCACTAAAGAATGTTTGCTCAAATGCTGACGGTTGATGTGGTAGCAGGGCTTCCAAACTGCTCTTATGGAGAGCTTAGAACAGGCGTCAGTGAAGGAATCATTAAATTTTTTTTTTTTTATATTTTGATTTACATGCTCTAGATTTCCCCGAAGGCTGTGTATCTCTATTGGGAGGGTCTCCCAAGTCCCCACTGTTTTTCCAGCCTCCTCTTCACATCCATTTCCTCTTCTCTTCTTAGTCAGCTTCCTATGCCCAACACAGGCATTATTCCCATGTTCAGGCCTTCTGTGGCCACTGCCTACTGGATTGAGTCCTGAAATAAAAAAACCTTAAGGACAATTCTGGATAATTCCCTGTTTTGTTTGTTTGTTTGTTTAAATTTATTTCTTCCATGAGACAGAGGGAGAACCCCAACAGGGCCCTCACACTGTGATCCACTCCCAATCCCAACCAGCCAGTATCACTGAGCATGGTATGTACAGGGAGGCCTCAGGATGCAAACCTAGGACCTTCCCAAGGGGGCCTAACATCATGGAGTGTTGCATTACTACTGCACCACTAAGGCTGGCCAACTCCCTGGAATTAGAAGAGGACAAGAATCTGAATCCCATAGCCTGAGAAATAAATGCCGATAGAATTCTTTGAAGTAGGAGTAGCCTGGGTTTTGATCTAGACTCTGTTAGCCTTAGCTCTGTAACCTGAAGACCAGTATTTCATATGCCTGAGCCCACACCACACGAGGCTGTGTCACTGTCATCACCTCCAGTATGGCCCTTCTTGTTTCTGGTGACCCGGTCTGGAGCTCAGACCCCTGCCCCCAGCTAGCCAAATCCCTCCCAGTCTCACTTCCATGGTGTGCACATGCACTTCTCCAGCAGAACCACCTCAGCCTGCTCTTCTCTGCACACCACAGAACACTTCCATGTCTCCACATCTCCTTCCATCTAGGGTGAGTGTTTCCCAGTTTCCTTAAGGACCCAACTCAAGGCTGCTTTTTGTTTTCTGAAGCCTCTGTGTCCCCTCCCTCCCCTGCCTGTGAATACCTGTAGCACTTTGTACCTATCTTCGGGGCATGCAGTGCTTCACATCTGTGTTATTTGCTTAATCTAAGTCTTTTCATGCTTAGATTGTAGACAGGGACCACATTTTCTTTAATTCTGTGATTCCCAAAGTCTCAGTAAGAAGTAAAAGAATCAGAAATGTGGTTTTAAGAAGGGGTGTTTAACCAATGAGATTAATCCCACATAGAATACAAAGTCGATTTAACATCCAACAGAAATAAAGCAATGTAATATATAACATTAATAGAATAATAATAATAATAATAATAATAATAACCTACATGACTTTTTGAACAGGCACAGAAAAAAAAAATTGGGGGACCAGCAGGTGGCATAGTGTTAAATAAAGCACTGGACACTCCCACATGGCCAACCACAGTTCGAGTCCTGGACCTGATGGCTTGCTTTCTCACTTTGCCTCTTCCTCTCTCTCTCTGTCTGTGTCTCTCTCTGGTCAAATTAAAATAAAATGAATAAATAAATAAAATTAAATAACTAATTCTTTTTTAAAAAAAATTGACAAGGTTCAGCATCCCTACATGGTGAAAAAACACTGAACAAACTTAGAAGAGAACTTCCTTGAACTGATAAAGGAGTTCTACGAAAATCCACAACTCACATCACTTAATGGAGTAAAACAATAATTTCTCTCCAAGATCAGGAGCAAAGCAACGACGTCTGTCCGCCTGACTTCTTTCCAATATTTGAGTAAAGATTCTAACCAGGCCAGTTAGGCAAAAAATGAAATAATGATCATCCATATTAGAAAGGAAGAAGTAAAACTATTTCTACTCACAAATGACATGATTTTGTGTATAGAAAATCCTAAGGGATCCACTAAAAAACTACTTGAACTAATAAGCAAGTTTAGCAAAGTTTCAGGATGCAAAATTGATATACAAAATCAAGTATATTTATCTTTACTTAAAATGAACAATCTCAAATGAAATTCAGAAAGTAATTCTATTCTTGAAAGCACTAAAATGATGAAGATACTGTCATGAGTTGGAAAATAATTTATGCCCCAGAGTTTCATGCTTTAGAATTTGATCTTAGTGGGAGGTGACTGTATGCACCTCAAAATTTCATGTGTTGGTGCTTAGTTGTATTGCTTTTATTATAAAGGTGTTAAGTGAAAATTCCTTCATGGTGTACCAAGGTGGGTGTGATAATGCCAATGGGTGAGGCCTCCATGATTGCGTTCTCATAGGGTTTATAAGGAGAAGAAATGAGATCCAGATACCAGAGAGAGAGTGAGAGGAAGCCACAGAGATATAGACTGTGTTTTGTTAGATGTTCTGCCTTCTGTCTTGTCAAGCCATTGGTCCTCCCAGCCACTGGTACTGTGAGTTAAAATAAGCCTTTATTCTCTTAAATTCACCCAGTCTCAGGTGCTTTTAGCAATGTGATAACAGACTAAGACAGATACTTCGGAGTAAACTTAACCTAGGAGATGCAAGACTTGTACATTGAAAGCAGTAAAACAATCTCTGTGCTTCAAAGAATGTCATAAGAAAAGTGAAAAGATAGCCCATAGAAAATATTTTCATATAAAGTACTTGTATCCAGAACATGTAAAGAACTCTTACAACTCAGAAATAAAAGGACAAATATTACATTTTTTTAATGGATAAAGGATCAGAATAGATGTTTCCTCAAAGAATATGTGTAAGTGGCCAATAAGCACATGAAAAGATAATCAGAGTTGGCCCCATAGCCTCGTGGTTAAGGAAGCCAGATCTCACACGGCTGGTTATGGTTTGCACACTGGCCCTGGTGACTTGAAAAGCACACCAGATACGTGTGTGTATATCCCCAAAATCTCCATAGAAAGGAGAAATCAAGAAGAAGGGATTACAGCATGATCATGTCCCACTAGTGTGGGCTTTCTCCCTCTCTCTGTCTCCCTCAGATAAATGCACACATCTTCTAACAATTAAAATTAAAAAAAAAAAAGTCCTCAACACAGGAAATGCAAATCAAAATGACAATGAGATATCACCTAGAATGTCTATCATTTTATTTACTTACTTACTTACTTACTTACTTACTTAAATTTGTTACAAGGCCCATGTACTCACCAGAGAAAGAGGGAGAAAGAGAAAATGAGAAACCACTACCCAGGGGAGATGGCCATACAGCAATCTGCTCTCCTCAGTTCTCTTCTCAGGATGTTGGACATGCACGCATACAGCATGTTTTTCAAGCTGTCAGGTCCAGGACTTGAACTGTGCAGTTGGCTATACAGGATCCAGCAGTCTTAACCACCTAGCCACCAACTAGTCCCATCATTTTAGAAAGGACAAATAGTAAGTGTTGATGGGAGGGTAGTGAAATTACAAACTTACGCTGCTGAAGGAAAAGTAAAATGGTGTAGCTGCTTTAGGAAACATTCCGACAGTTCCTCAAAAAGTTAAACATACAGTTACTGTACAACCCAGCAGTTCCAATTGCAGATGTGTACCCAAGAGGAGGGAAACAAATTCACAAAAAAGCCTGTGCATGAATGTGGGTAGCAGTGATATTCATAATAGCCAAAAAGTGCAATCAACCCAAATGCCTAATTAATGAACTAAAAAATAAAACATGGTATAGCTACACAGTGGAATATTATTTGACCGAGTAAAGAAATGCAATTCTGATACATGCTACATCATGAACTGTGAAAACATGCTAAGTGAAAAAGAAATACAGAAGGCTACATAATATGAGATTCCATTTATGTGTCATTTCTAGAATAAGCAAATTCACAGAGACAGAAAGTAGGTTGGGGCTGCCTAGGGTGGGGAGAATGGAGTGATTGCTAGTAGGTGTATGGGTCCTCGTTTGGGTGCTAGAATGTTTCCAGGGCAGCTGTGATGATGGTCGCACATCTCTGTGAACCAGAAATCGTTGAAATTGAAGTGAAATCAATGTACACTTTGAAGGGGTGGAGTTGTAAGAATTAAATCTCAATAAAGCTGTTATGTAAAAAAAAAAATCTATGTGTAACTAGAATTCTAAAGGTAGTTGCACTTTTTTATTGAAGCATTGGGTTAACGTATTCCATTATCTGTGAGCAAATTGATGATATAGAGGAGTGCAGCCCACTCTGACGCAGAGACAAGTGCGAATCAAGGTACTTAACACATATTCAGAACAAATGACATACTCCTCCTCCTTTTAGTTGAAAACTGTAGCGGCTACTAGTCAAATTTGCATTTACAGTTAAATTTATTACAATTAAATAGACTTTGGGCCAGCCCGTGGTGGCCTAGTGGTTAAAGCATCCAGATACCATGTGGCCAGCCTCAGCAGCTAGGAAAACACACTGAGTACATGTGCATGTGTGCTGCAGATCCTCTCAGGATGGGGAAATGGACAAGGAATTGTGGAATAGCCATGCTCCATGGGGGTTGGGTACTTTCTCCCTCTTTCTCTCTATCTCACTACCTCTAGAGAGCACATGTACCCCCTGGCAATTGAAACAAATAAATTGATTTTTTTTAATTAAATAGAATCTAAAACTCAGTTCATCAGTTGCCCAAGACATATTTCATCATCAAGGTGGCTAGTGGCCACTCTGTTAGCACAGATTAAACATCCCCATCATTGCAGGAAGTTTTAGAGCAGCTTTAACACCTGGTTCAAATATTATTAAGAAACATGTTGAAAGGAAATCAAACGCCCAGCTTAAGTGGAGCGATTCTCATTCCAAGATTCTATTTGTATGACTTTGCTCCTAGTTGACACAGATGAAATGTTCGCTGATTTTATTAGTGACTAAATACTCTTTTCTTTCCCTCCCACAGATTAACCACTCTGATAATAAGAAGAACAGGTATTCTGGCTGGCCTGCAGAGATACAGATAGAAGGCTGCATACTGAAAGAGCTCAGCTAGCATTGCACGGTCCCTAATAAATGCGTTTTGTATAGACAAACACAGCTGGTCCGGCCCGGAACTTAGCCTTTTTTTTTTTTTTTTTTGAAGAGTCCAGACAGACAGAGAGAGACAGAGAGATAGAAAGCAAGAAATCACCCCCCCAGGGGGGATGGTCACGCCGCAATCCCTTCTCCTCCAGTCTCCTCTCGGGTGGGATCTTGGGCACGCACGCACGCGCGCCCGGCATGAGTTTTAAGCCACCGGGTCCGGGACGCAAACTGCAGTCGACTACGTGGGAGTCCAGCAACATAGCCATTACGCTAACTGCTGGTTCCCTGGTTGTATCAAATCTTGACATACAGTGGTTTTTGTACCAGTATTTATATAGTGGAATTATCAATGAGCAGGAAAACGGAAATGAATGGGGACTGTTAAAGAGAATAAAGTGACTTTAGCTGGAAAGAGAGGGTTGGGAGAAGTAGCTGCAGCCTGCCTGATGTGGCGCTGTGTCACTCTCAGCTCTGGGTTGACTCCTGTGTGGTACAGACAGCTCTGCAGGGAGAGATCTCTGTTCCATTGTTGTCCAGCACAGCCTGGCTCCCTTGGCCAGCTCCTTCTGCTGGGAACCCAAGCAGGGTCGGGGCCCTTAGCTAAGCTCCTGGGTTGACCCAGGTTGGACGCTTACACTTTCTTCATGGGTCTATGAGTGTGTTCATTTGTTCTGAACATCTGGACACCTCCTGCCTTCTGGCATCAGGAGTACAGCCATGACCAAACCCAGCCACCCTCACACCACTCTTGGCAGCTAGAGAGAGAGGTGCTAAGGGAGAAGGGCTCATTCTCAGAAACGACTGTCCATCCCAGACGTCTTAGGAGACTACCAGTGACTACCTAATGGTGTTGAGTCAGGGTTAGGAAAATAAAGTCAGTGGGGCAAAGAGAGGCCACCAAGCGCCTGTCCTTGCTTCCTTCTGTCTGATTGCCAGGAAAGCTGTGAGGCTTGATACCAGGTTAACCTCAGTTCTCTGAGTCTCCACCGTCTCATCGGTAAGATATGGGAGTTGGGATAAATGAATAGTTTTTCAGCCTTTTTATGGGCAGGACTCCTTTAAACACATGTTGGCCCATGGCCCCCTGAATTTCATCATGTTTACAGTGACAGTCCACCAGGTCTCAGTGCCCTTCAGCAGTGTTCATGTCTCATTTTTTCCCCACAAAGGTCCCAGGTCCGCCAGCTCAGCTCCAGGTACTGGGAGCCAGACACGAGGCTGACAGTGCAGAAATCCAGCCCCCCACCCCAGCCCACCAACCTGCTGCACGTTACCTCCACCTAAGGATGTGCCCTGGCCTCGACGAGCCCAGTGGGGGAAGATGGAATACCAACCCCTCCCACAGCAAACCAGGGAGCAGTGGGCAGGTGATGGTTCTCCTGCAGGGAGAGGGTATGAGTATTTGTGAGTGGAAATGAAATGGCTCAGTGACCACTGAAAGCCAAGCAGTGCTCTGGCTCTGGGGGGGTGCATGGAATGGTCTGCTGACCCCTGCTCTGGGTCCCTGCAGAGGAGTCCGCTGACCACTGCTATGGACTGAGTTGTATCCCCCAAATTCATGTGTTGAAGTCCTGGCTCCTAGGACCTCAGAGTGTGACTATCTTTGCAGAAGCTGAGTACTTAGTTGGGCTGAGGTCCTGACCCTGCAGGACTGGCATCCTCTGAAAAGGGGAAATATAGACACAAATGCACACACAGGGAGGATGCCACAGAGGCAAGGCAGTGCTTCTACAAGCCAAGGAGCACCAGAGATTGGCAGTAACCATGGGAAGCTGGAGAGAAGCCTGGGAAGGTCCTCCCCTGGCACCTGCAGCAGGTGCACAGCCCCACTGACCAGTCTGGCCTCCTGAGTGAGACAGCAGTCTGTTTAAGCCACCCAGCATGTGGTACTTTGTCATGGCACCCCTAGGAAGTGAGTGCAGGCACCTCTAGGTTCTAAACCCCTCGTACCCCCTGGATACTTCTGTGCACAAGAAGAGGGAAGAACACGCTCCTGCTCTGGCTGGAACTAACACATCTTCATAGCTCCTAGATCTTAACTATCCTTGGGGGACAGTCATCAGGAGTACTTCTTGGGACTCTGGCTTTGGGATACACAGCTCTGGTGATAGAACCTTATTTATTTACTTACTTACTTACTTAAATTTGTTACAAGGCCTGACAACTGACAGTTCTAGGAGTTTCTGACCCGACCTGGTGGCTTGTGCCTGAGCCTCTGCCTTAGCCTCGGCTGGCAGGGCACGTCTAGCACAGGCTAAATGCAGCCGGGTTACCTCGGGCCAGTCTGCCCGTCTTCCCTGGAGAGTTCCCAGGCCAAGAGAGCCGCACGCTCTCTCTGGGCATGACATGCATCATCTCTGACCATCATCAGCCCAAGCAACACTTTGTCCCAGGTAGGAAATAACTAGTTTCCTCCTTCTATCTTCTGAGCTAACCTGGAGAGGTCCAGGAAGAGGCAGGTGAGGCGAGTTTCAGGGTCATCACTGAAAAGCAGGGAGCTCTGGGAGGGTCTCCAAGCTCCCTGGGTAGCAGTGTTGAGCAACATAAAGAAAACAGGCATTCTTGGGAACCAGCAGTTAGCGTAATGACTATGTCGCTGGACTCCCACGTAGTCGACCGCGGTTCGTGTCCCGGATCCGGTGGCTTAAAACTCACGCCGGGCGCGTGTGCGTGCGTGCCCAAGATCCCGAGAGGAGCATGGAGGAGAAGGGATTGCGGCGTGACCATCCCCCCTGCGGGGGTGAATTCTTGCTTTCTGTCTCTATGTCTCTGTCTGTCTGGCGAGCGCACGCGCCCTACAGTGAAAATCTCTCCAAAAAAAACAGGCATTCTTCAAGGCCTGATGTGCCCAGGGCCTGCTCTCAGTGTCTGGCTGTGGGCAGGGGTGACAAGCTGCACACTGAAGAGGAGTACAGCCAAGTCTATAACAGACTGGAAAAGGCAAGCTGTGAACACGACAGTAAAAAGGTCAGGGGTTGGGACCAGCAGATGGTGTAATGGTTACATCGCTGGACTCCCACGTAGTCGACTGCAGTTCAAGTCCCGGACCCGGCAACTTAAAACTCACGCTGGGCACATATGCGTGCATACCCAAAATCCTAAGAGGAGAACAAAGAGAAGGCGTTGTGGTGTGGCCATCCCCCCTGGAGGTGATTTCTCGCTTTCTGTCTCTGTCTCTTTGGCAAGCACACTCACTCCATAGCAAACATCTCTCTAAAAAAGGATAAAAAGGTCAGAGGCTGCCGGGTTTGTGAGGGGGAAAGATGAACGAGAGAAACACGGACACCTTTTAGGAGGCTGAGACACTCTGTGTGGTGCTATAATGGCGGGCGTGTGTCATCGTGCATCTGCCCGGACTCTAGAATGCCCAACACCCAGGCAAACCCTAGTGTGAACTCTGCACTGTAGGTGAGGATGGTGTGCTGATGCAAGGGCATCCTCCAGAACTAACTGTGAAATGGAAGCAATGAAATAAAGAGCCCATTTGGTCCAAAACGGGCTCCTGTTAGGGGAATTGATCTTGGGCATCCAGAGGGTGACGGGCTGTGGAATGGCATATGCCATCCTGGGCATGGCCCATGTTGAGCGCTGGGCCTCTGAGAGAAGACAGCTGAAAGAGTCCGAGATGCCACCAACTCTCACCTTGTAGGTGCCGGGCATCCTCACTGCCCCCATGCATTCCTCCCTTCCTCTGTCAGCCCTCACAGCGATGATGGACCTGCAGACTTCCACACTGACCCCAGGTGAACATGAGGTCATCCTGCTCCCCTCATCCCAGAGTTTGGCCCGTCACTGCTGTACAAGACTCCTTGCTACAGCGTCGACTGGGGTAAACCTTTGCTGATGATTGTTCTGTGCCCTCCCCATTTGTGATGGTCGCCTTTAAAGTCACCCTGAAACCAGTAAGACCCTGGCACACATTACTGGAGACAACGTGGACTGTGTAGCTGGACGATTATCCTAACCCTGCCCAGTGAAGTCTTGCTTTACGTACTTGGCCTCAGCCTTCCATTTCCGGTTGACACAACAAAGGGCCCGCTCTAGTGGGGGATGCTGATAGTGGAGGAGGCTTTGTGTAGGGGGTGGGAGGGCAGCTCTGCATATTGGTGGGGGCAGGTAGTTATGGAATCTCTGTACCTTCTGCTTAGTTTTGCTGTGAGTCAAAGACCACTCTAAAACTAGTCTGTTACCAAATAATAATAAATAATAAACAACCTGTCAGAGAGAGCTGGCCTGCAGTCTTCTGCCCTCCTGACCTTTCAGCAGTTCTGTTACCAAGATTCCTTGGACCGTTGACAACATGCAGTCGGCATCATTATAAATCTTGTTCTTGACTGAGAAAACGGTGTGACCCTCCAGTCTTTGGGATGGCCTTTGTCTGGCCCTGGCCCTGAAGGCTCAGGGCCGGGCCAGTTCCCATCAATGGACATCAGGTGGAGGACTGGCAGGCAGCATGGATGCTCACATGGGCCCTGCCGCTACAGAGTCGCCATCACCAGGACGAACCCTGCTGGAGCAGGTGAGGGGCAGAGCTGGATGGAGGTGGTCACGAGACTTGAGTGTAGCCTTTGCTCCTGTGCTCTGCTGGGACAAAGACCTCCCAGCTGCAACTCTGCCTGCTGACAGCTCTTCACCATTCCCTCCGCCTCACTATTCCAGAGAACCTTTTGTGCAATCAGTTCCTCTGATGAGAAAGAAATTTGAGATCTGTGGGAGGGCCGATGCACTCAGTTTCAGAGGGCTCCCAACAGCTGAGGCTCACTGGGTCAGCACAAGGGTGCCCGCCCCTTCCTGGAGAGTCATCAGGATGGGGCAGAGACAGGCATCCCTGCTTTGGGATTCTGCATCTTCATGAAGCTCCTCCCTTTCACAGAACCACCCCTGCTCTTCCATGCTGCTTAGGGGAGTTCCAGTGGGGGGGGGTGCGGGGAGGGGTGGCTAGGGGAGTTCCAGTACGGGGCGTGGCTTGGTGAACAGCCTGGGGGCGTGGCTTGGTGACCAGCCTGTCCCGTCGACCTAGTGGCTGGTACTATCTCCAAGTTTGCCATGTGCAGGCAATCTGTCCTTCCTGGGGTGCTAGTGTGGGGGTGCACAAGGAGCTGCTTCGGCCAGGAGCAAGGGTGGAGGGAAGTTGCTGAGGAAGTCTGAGTTGCTCACGTGACTCTGTCCCACTTCTCAGGCATCTTGTCTGGTGTTTTTTCTGCAGAAGTAGACACATCCCAAGTCTGTTATGAAACAGAACATTGTCCACGCTGCCAATTCTGGTGTCTGAATCCTTCCCTTCCTCCTCAGTCTGCACCCCAGCTCTCACCCCTCACCAGTCTGGTTCAGGACCTGGGCCCTGAAGGTTATCTCCTAGTAATTTCTACTGCTGAAGTTTTGAAAAATGTGTTTAAGCCTCTAGATTCATTCTTTAAAGTTAAACTTGCCTTCAATAGCAATAACTAAAGGGAGCAAAGAAGTGTTTAGGATATATTGTTTTAATTATAGTATTAATGATTACGTTTAGAGAGGATGCTGGAGTGGAGAAGAGAGTTGAGAGCTTTGCTTCCTCCCTGCTGGCCAACCCTAGACCCAGAGGTGTTTGCTGGAAGTTTCTAGAAGCAGGATGTGCAGTGGTGCTGCAGAAACCAAGGCCGGCTCAGAGCTGAGTCGGGAGTCTAGTGTCTGGCCTGGGGCGGGGTTGGGTGACCAGCCTGTCCCGTCGACCTAGTGGCTGGTACTATCTCCAAGTTTGCCATGTGCAGGCAATCTGTCCTTCCTGGGGTGCTAGTGTGGGGGTGCACAAGGAGCTGCTTCGGCCAGGAGCAAGGGTGGAGGGAAGTTGCTGAGGAAGTCTGAGTTGCTCACGTGACTCTGTCCCACTTCTCAGGCATCTTGTCTGGTGTTTTTTCTGCAGAAGTAGACACATCCCAAGTCTGTTATGAAACAGAACATTGTCCACGCTGCCAATTCTGGTGTCTGAATCCTTCCCTTCCTCCTCAGTCTGCACCCCAGCTCTCACCCCTCACCAGTCTGGTTCAGGACCTGGGCCCTGAAGGTTATCTCCTAGTAATTTCTACTGCTGAAGTTTTGAAAAATGTGTTTAAGCCTCTAGATTCATTCTTTAAAGTTAAACTTGCCTTCAATAGCAATAACTAAAGGGAGCAAAGAAGTGTTTAGGATATATTGTTTTAATTATAGTATTAATGATTAGGTTTAGAGAGGATGCTGGAGTGGAGAAGAGAGCTGAGAGCTTTGCTTCCTCCCTGCTGGCCAACCCTAGACCCAGAGGTGTTTGCTGGAAGTTTCTAGAAGCAGGATGTGCAGTGGTGCTGCAGAAACCAAGGCCGGCTCAGAGCTGAGTCGGGAGTCTAGTGTCTGGCCTGGAGCCTGGTGTTCCTTCCAGCCCCATCTTCACGTCACATTTCAGTGCATTATCTCCGAGAAGAAAAACATCCTGGCTGTGAGGTTGGGATTCCAAGTGGCATTTGCAGGAAGCAGTCCACACCTCCTGCTGTTAGCCCCCAACCAGGGCAGAGGTGACACTTGTTTGGTGTGGCTCAGATGTGAGGTTAAGCAGGGTGGCTCACAGTTATCGGATTACAGACCTGAGAGGGTGAGTGTCCCCAGGCATGTCAGCAGTCATCTGTGTGGCCCAGTATCGGAGTCACATCCGGCTTTCTAAATCATTCAAACTGCATGGAACCCACACTCAGGACCCTCAGTTGCATTCGCTGCATTTCAGATACTTGGTAGCTGCAGGAACTGTGTTGGATTGGCTGACCCACAACACTGGCGTCACAGCAGAAAGCTCTGCACAGCATTAAAGTCCCTTGGAAACCTATTAGCTGCTGGCTCTGGGCCGCCCCAGACTTGCTGAATCAGACCCTCTAGGGGGGCCCAGTCCCCTGTTTTCACAGCCCTCCTGGTGCCTCTGATGCAGTTCAGCTTGAGGGTCGTCTGAATCACCAGGATGCATACTGATAATTCAGTTTCATTTCTGCAGCAGACCATTTAGTTTCATTTCTCACAGTTTGTTTGTGACGGAAGCAGGGATTGGGGAGTGGCTCTCATACTACATAAAAGTGATGCAGGGAAAAGGAGAGGCATGACGTGCCTGGCCTCTGTCCTCACCACACACAGGTAAGAGCTGGTGGGTTTGGGGAGGACTGCTTGATATCGAAGTGGTGGAGATGAGCCTTTTAAAAACATTTCCAGAGCAGCATGGCCCCTGCCTAGGAAGTGGCTTGTGCCAGAACGAAGAAGCCATAAAGACAAGTTCTGATGCTGCAGGTGAGAGATGCTCAAAGGGCCGTGTTGATGCTGGCTCACAGCCAGCCCTGCATACTCCAAAGGGGAGTGTCAGCTGCAGATGCACAGGGTGGCCCCCATCCTGAATCTGGGCAAATACTGGCTAGGGAGCTTCATGCCCCAGAGCATGGCGCTTTGAGCTCTCCACAGGTATCTGTGCTACCTGGGATCCAGTGACACGGTGATGTGCTGGAAAACTGGCCCTCAGAGGGAGGGGGTGATGACCCCTGGTTGCTGTTCCTGTGGAGTAATTATGAGGGTCTCCAAAGATCATGGAAAATGCATAGTAAGAAAAAGCTGCATGGATTTCTTTCTTTCTTTTTTTTTTTCCAACAAAACAAACTTGCACTGTAATTCTCTTTTCCATGAACTTTCTCACATCCCCTCTTGCTCTCACCACAGCCAGCTCCTATTCCACGGGTGTCATCTCCAGCACCCTGGACCACCTTCTCCCTCAGGGCAAGTCCATATTACGGTTGATGCAGAGTAGATAGGAGTCCTTACCGTGTTGACCACACACATGAGAAACGTCCTTCTCATCTCATCTAGGACTGCCTATCGTAGTCCAGAAAGAGGAGGGTTGTGAGCTGTCCTTGGTCAACCCCTCTTCTCAGTTATCCTGCTCCTCCTTTTCCCCAATAACACCCACACATCCTGATTTGAGGTGAGATGTTTTCTTGAGCGTTGTGCATATTACCGCTTCCACCCTAGAAAGTGAGCTCCCCAAGGACTTTTTTCTGTTTAATTCACGTCCCAGTTGGCTCAGTGAGTAACAACTGGATCTAAAACAAAAAAACAAAACAAAAAATGAGGCGTGCCTTAGGAGACCAGGTTGTATTCTATGCCTGCTGACTGGACAGGATATTCTGTCCCATAGGGATGAGGCTGGGGCCAGAGACAGAGACAGCCCCGGGTGCCAGACATGCCTTGGACTGTCTGCGGGGTGGCTGTGGACGTCCCCTTGTGGGAGACACAGATGGCTGGAGATCAGCCAGCCAGTGCCATGCGGGTCCCTCCTCAACCCATTGCCATCAGTCCTAGGAGTTGTGCTAACTGACAGGCTTACTCCAACTTCCAAACCCACAGGAAAATGGATGTTTTTATCCTTAAGCATGAGAACCTGGGAAATTATTGTAGTCTGTTTTGCAGCTGAGAACAGAAAATATTCCAGTCGACTCAGTAACATAGCAGTTAACATGTTTAGCAAGTGTGTAAAGAACCAGATCCCACAGGCTGACCGTGGTTTGAATCCTAGCTTTGGAGGCTTGAAAAACATATCAGGCATATATGCATTTCTGATAGAAAGGAGAAATGAATAAAGGATGTGGTATGACCACACCCCATTAGGAAACGCTTTTACTCTGTGGTGAGCAGAACCACCCCTCTAGTTTTTTGTTTTTTGGTTTTTGTTTTTTTTGGGGTTTTTTGTTTCTTTGTTTTTTGGTTTTTGTTTTTTTTGGGTTTTTTTGTTTCTTTGTGTTTAAAAAAAAAAAAAAGAAGAAGAAGAAGAAGAAGAAGAAAGAAAATACCTGAAATTGTGTGATTTATAAGAATAGAGGTTTATGGAGCTTGATGTTGGTGGTCCAAGGTCTACTGAAAGTCTTTCTAGCTGCTCCATAACATGGCAGAGGGCAGGGAGACATGGCCTGGGTTCTTTTGCCAGAGTTTCTCTCACTTCCTCTTTTTGTAAACACACTCCGAATCAATGTGGGAGTCCCACTGTGACTACCTTAATCCTTATCTCTTCCTCAAAGCCTCACTTTTTGAAACCGTACTTGAATCAAGTTTCACCCTCTTGATTCCCTTCTGGTGACTTCTGCACATGAACTTTGGGGAATGAATTCAACCCACAGCAGTAGGGAAGTCAGGCGCAGATTGGCGTGCACTGCAGACCAGATCCTCAGGCCCAGACTATGACTTAGCAAGGCATCTGATACCCCTCCATAGGGCTGGTCTCCCAGGCCTCCCTTCCTCTCAGGCTCTCTTGAGACTTAGGAGAGCTGATGAAAACAAAAGCATCCTGGGGCCAGAGGGCTCCGCCCACAAGGAGTGGAATCCACTCTTCTGACAACCTCAGCTGTCTTCACAGGGCACCTGCTCTTTGGCATCCCCCTGTGGTGACCACCATTTCCTGCACTTTCACCTGCCAGGGCACAATGTACCTAGAGAGAATGACTTCTCTTGGCAAAGGCTTTGGAATTGCCACATCATGGCTCTCAGCATGCGTAGGGAAATCATTTTCTCTTTGTACTTTTTGGACTTCGTAGATAAACATAAGTGACAGGTTTAGCTTTGCAGAATCCCTTTGCTCTCACTGGACTTCCTGGTGGGAGACGAAAGGCAGGTAGATCTGGCCAAGACCAGTGGGACAGGCTCCCCAGGAGTAGGGCCACTCTTCCTGAACACTGCAAGATCTGCGTGCAGGAAAAGAGGCCAGCCACAGTTCGCTCTTACTGTGCTACCTGCATTCGTTCTTCACCTGCCATGGGTTAGCTGTGCTTCCCCCAAGACCCCTATATCCAGCCCGAACCCCCAGTACCTTGGGATATGACCCTATTTGGAAATAGATTCCTCAGAGATGTCATTAAAATGAGACTGTATTACAGCAGAATGGATCCGTAGTCCAACATGACTGCTGTCCTTAGGAAAAGGGACAGTTGGGCACAGGGACAGGCATGCACAGAGGGAGATGGGGCAAATGAAACCACTCCCACCCCAAACCCTGCAACGTGCAAACAAAACAGAAATCTGCCAGAAGCAGAAACCTCGTGGAAAGGTCTCACACCTTGATGACCTTAGGAAAGGCCGCTCATGAGCACCCGTCTTTGCAGCAGAGCAGTGGAGGAGAAGCTCTGGATATCTACATTCTTTTTCAGATGCAGCTCTCCCTACCCCTCAGGAAGCTGCTTATTCACTGTGCCTCCACCCCCTTGCATTTGTACCCCAATTTCCAGTCTCCCTTGGGGGCTCCTAGGCACAAATAGTCTCTTCTGTGAGTGTTCTTCCCTCCAACCCCACAACTACAGTGACCTCACTCATCCAAGGGCCCTGGGAGAAAACTGCCTGACAGTCTTACCAGGGACAGCATAAAAGGCATGAAGAGCACTTGTTACGGGTGGGGGCGAAGGCATGGGAAGCACATCGAGAGGTCAGCAAGGCCCGGAGCCTCTGGAAATTCTGCCTAGCCCTCCTGGCCCTTCCCTGTCCATCTGCCCAGCCGTTCATCTACTCTGGCTGTCCCCACTCGAGCCCCCTTACCCAGCCCAGACCTGTTTCAGCTGTTCTCACCTCTGGCCTATACCTTTTGCATCCTCCACTACCTGCCACTCCTCCTGTGCTTCCTTTTACAGCAGGTTCCTGAACATCCTTGGTAGGGCTCCTCGACGGCCTCAGTAATCCATTCATGGTACCCCTGCCCATTTGCCCTACCCAGTAGCCCTGTTTATTAATTAGGTGAACCCCAAGACCTCAGTAAGAGCAGGCAGGGTGTTGTTC